TCCCTATGTGTACAAAAATGGAAAGGCTTCAAGTGAGCAACTGTCACCCCCCTTTTTTTAACTCTAGCAAACCTCTGTATGGTTCTATAATCAAGGCTTTATTGAAATAATATAATTAATATAAATTTATATATTTATATAATCTAATATATTGAATAACAAACATGAATGTTTTTTAGAAAATATGTAGCTCATCCTGGCCTGTTAAACAGGAGACTTGGTAGTTGTATATATTCCGGAAACTTATTATATTTATAGTGGTATGAATAAATTTTATAAATTTAAATATGCTCAAAACCTAGTCCGGTGCAACTTGGCTCTATCTTAGAAGGTCAGGAGGTATATCCTAGAAAAAGCTACAATTCTGACCAAAACCTGGTTTCTACATGCAAGCAATCTGACAGTGTTAAATGTCTTCCATGAAGTATATCAGAAAGTTAAGGTAGGTATTATTGTGGTTATAGGACAATATGACCTATTCCCGTCTGTCTTGAACACATGAATACTTGTAGGGTCATAGCTGCGCAGATTCTTGCAGTATTTACTTACAATATGCAGTAAAGCAGAGTTGGAGAACTCTCTGCGCGATATCCAGAATTCAAGAGATGCCTGCCACTGATCGCTGAAGTCTAGGAGCAGAGCAGAAATTTCACCGCAGGGTTTTGTCTCACTGTGACAACTGAAATGGATAGCCAAGAAACATTTGATCTTTTTAATGTATGGGACCAAAGGGGACAATTTTACAGTGTGAACTATGATAATGGAATAAGTAATGTGTGTTGCAAATGCAGACATTGGCTTCCCCAAACTGATTGTGGAGTGACCCATGTTTCTATTACACCCTACAATAACCCCGTCCAAGCATTGTTCAATATGGATGACTCCAGAAATGCCCTGCCAATGACCTTCAAACGGCATTCTCCTGATCTTCATGTATTTAACGCACCTGCAGTTTTAAAAAAGTCTTTGCACATATGTCTGTATGCATACTTGCTTCCTCTTGAGTCTGCACCTTGATTGTGTACTTAAGCAATGTAGAATGAGATTGTGGCTCTTCCACTCATGAAGAACGCTCCAGTTTTCATCATGCTTTGACAGGACTATTCTGAATGTGCTTTGAGGATATATACTAAGTCCTTCGCTGACATACAGTATGTCTGAGACAAATATGTATCAGTTCAGTTTGAATATTCTTCATATCAATCTGAACAGAGTTTCATGTTACTCAATTCCTTCTGTCAATTCTGTCCTTAGTAGTTGTCAGCCTGTTGTCTTTGTATGAGAAGGTACTCACAGAGTTTGATGGGTTTTTGGTAACATACCCTGACCCACAAAGATAGCAGTAAAAATCATCATTTCTGTTTCACTCCTGCTTGTGGATGAGATCAACTTTGTTCCAGACTCTTGTTTCAGGAAGATACCTCAGAGTTTAGCATTCTAAGAACTGAGCCAAACTATATTGCTATTTATTGAAGACTTTAAAGTATTGTGATATTGCATGATATCATGATATTGCATTGTTGGGGTGGTCTTTTGCAAATACTTTGCTAGACAACTTTAGAAGAGAGTCTCACCTTAGTTATACCTACAGCTGATCCGTTGCATCTAAAAAAGAGGTGGATAACCCATGAATTACATTTAGTGTTCCCAATCCAATTTGTGCATTTCAAGAACTCTGCAAGGTTGTGTGTGAATGGTTTGATTTACTTCTTGGAGGTAAGGAGGAAATTTAAAAACAAGCAAAATAGACGTAAGATTTTGAGGCTTTAATGGGTCGATCTGACCCTTTAAAAAAACTCAAAGTATTCTGGGGGAGGGATTTTGGCCCCATTATCTTTGGGTATTATAATGTCACTGCTTTGTGCAGGATACAAAAGCCTTTCTTAACAAAAATGGGTGTCCCCATCAGAAAAAGCCAAAAATAATAAAGGCAGGACAAAAAATGTAAAAAAACAAAACTGGGCCCTGCAGATGAAAATGGCGTCACAGCTCACAACGTAAGAAAATCTTTGGGGTCTTAGCCTCTCCCTATTCTTCCTGAAGATTTAAAATGTTTTAAAAAGTCACTGGTACCTAGGTTCATGAAGAACCATGTCCCCAGAATCAGGTGTCCAACTAAGAGTAGGGCGCCATTGGATCTTTGGATAGTCTGGGTTTATCCAAAGATCCATAATTAGAATGGACGAATTCAGTGCAATCAGTATATTTCCCCCCATGTATTTTATGATACGTTTTCCCATTACATAGCAAAATTTGGCCACAACTTCTTTTTGAGATTCTAGGATCTTTACCAGGTCTTTGGAGATAGTTGACATGTGCCCTTGAAATTATAAGTTCTCAATTTCTGGCCTAGGAAATATGAAACTTCAATATCTTCCTTGAGTTGAAAGCTGGGCAAGGAAGGAAGGGGGGAAAAAACACCTCATACCAGTTAGGAAATGGGCTGGCCACATTCATTTTACCTTCATTTAGCTAACTGCAGGATTATAGCTCATAAAACTAAGGATTCTAATAGACAACATTTCTTAATAATTTTAATGAAGAAAGGGAAAAAATGGGCAGTGTAAGAAGTACAGTGGGGCAAAAAAGTATTTAGTCAGCCACCAATTGTGCAAGTTCTCCCACTTAAAAAGATGAGAGAGGCCTGTAATTTTCATCTTAAGTGGGAGAACTTGCACAATTGGTGGCTGACTAAATACTTTTTTGCCCCACTGTACTTCTTACACTGCCCATTTTTTCCCTTTTAAGTGGGAGAACTTGCACAATTGGTGGCTGACTAAATACTTTTTTGCCCCACTGTACTTCTTACACTGCCCATTTTTTCCCTTTTAAGTGGGAGAACTTGCACAATTGGTGGCTGACTAAATACTTTTTTGCCCCACTGTACTTCTTACACTGCCCATTTTTTCCCTTTTAAGTGGGAGAACTTGCACAATTGGTGGCTGACTAAATACTTTTTTGCCCCACTGTACTTCTTACACTGCCCATTTTTTCCCTTTTAAGTGGGAGAACTTGCACAATTGGTGGCTGACTAAATACTTTTTTGCCCCACTGTACTTCTTACACTGCCCATTTTTTCCCTTTTAAGTGGGAGAACTTGCACAATTGGTGGCTGACTAAATACTTTTTTGCCCCACTGTACTTCTTACACTGCCCATTTTTTCCCTTTTAAGTGGGAGAACTTGCACAATTGGTGGCTGACTAAATACTTTTTTGCCCCACTGTACTTCTTACACTGCCCATTTTTTCCCTTTTAAGTGGGAGAACTTGCACAATTGGTGGCTGACTAAATACTTTTTTGCCCCACTGTACTTCTTACACTGCCCATTTTTTCCCTTTTAAGTGGGAGAACTTGCACAATTGGTGGCTGACTAAATACTTTTTTGCCCCACTGTACTTCTTACACTGCCCATTTTTTCCCTTTTAAGTGGGAGAACTTGCACAATTGGTGGCTGACTAAATACTTTTTTGCCCCACTGTACTTCTTACACTGCCCATTTTTTCCCTTTTAAGTGGGAGAACTTGCACAATTGGTGGCTGACTAAATACTTTTTTGCCCCACTGTATATGTATTTTCAAATTTCTGAGTTGTGTAGAATGATAGATCATATTAATCATACTGGAATCTTAAAACTGGGGAAAAAAGGCACTGGAAGTATGGCCAATGATTACTTGATATAGGAAATAGTGAAATGTTTGTTGCTACAAAGGCAAATAATACTGTAACTTACTTGTAAGAGAGCAGAGGACCAGCAATCAGAAATATTTGCAAGTTCTGAAGAAATCCAAAAAGCATTTTTAAAATATTGAAAAATGCAAAGGAAAAATTGAAAATGCAGTTAATGATAAAACAGAGAAATTGAAGTGCCACCAAATAAAGCTTAGTATTAAAAGAGAATATGGTCTTCTAAACTTGAGGATTACAGCTAAAACTGAAAGGGAAAGTCTAGACGCAAAGAGTGAGATTATTTCAGAAGTAGAAACTTCATTACTCCTCGAAATGAGACTAGCACAATCAACCCTTCACAGATGCTTTCTAAGAGTAAGATAATTTTTTGGGTAAACCAATCTGGTGTTAAACAGCTTGGAATATGAAAAGTAGCAGATCGGGGTAACTAGGCTAGATATTAGAATGCTGGATCAGAAAGGATCAGATTCCATCCTCAGCCATGGAAGATCAGTCACTGTATTTCACTCCAACTTACTTAATAGAAATGTTGCAAGAATAAAATTGGAGGAGAGATTACTCCTGGAGCTGCTTTGAACCCCTGCAGGAAAGGCAGGCTATTCATCTAATAACTAAATACAATGGTGGTACAGTGTAATAACCCTCTGGGTTTTTGAGAGTAAGATTATTCCCTTGAGGCTAAGATAAATGAAGTTAGGAGGATGAATAAATCAGCTCTCCCACTGAAGATATGTCTCAGGTACCAAGGCATATGATGATGGCTGAGTCAGTCATCAAACCATCATAGCTGTGCTTATGATGGAAAGACAGGCTGGATGGGACTTGCTTGTTACAAAAGTTTTGGGTAACAAGGTAAAGTGGCAGGCAGGCAATTCCAATGTTAATGGGGAGGAGGTAGTTACAAACTCTCGGGAGCCACATGTTAGTTGTTAGGGGGTTCAAATCATGGCCTCATCATTGGATACCAATTTTGTAACTTCATAGAATATGGCAGTGATTATACAACATAAAACTAGAAATCTCAATCCCCCACAGGGTTAGTATGGATATCAGTTCCAGGGACTTGCTGTTATCCTCTTGACCAAAATCAATGATCTTGACATGGAAAAATATTATCAGGCACTCGAAAAGGTTAGTGTCAGGAGTGACTT